CTCTCTCTCTCTCTCTCTCTCTCTCTCTCTCTCTCTCTCTCTCTCTCTCTCTCTCTCTCTTGGGGCCTATCTTTCTTCTTTTTTTTTTTCTTCTTTTTTTTTTGGCACACAGTGCGCGACTCCCTCAGCGCGCGCACCACGCACTGCGGACAGCACTGCGTACCGCGCACAGTGCGCGCGCTGTCGTTCCAGCGCACAGCGCAGTGCGCACCGCCCCGCACCGCACTGGTGCGCCGCAACTATGCCGCTAGTGCATCCTACGCTGGGATGGGACTGCAATGTTCGTAAGAGGCTTGTATGTAACAGCACAGAGATGCTAAAAAGCAAATGAATGTAATAGCCCAGCTAGTGTATCCCACACTAAAATGGGACTGCACTATAGGCAAGATGCCGCAAGAAGCATGTATGTAATCTCACAGATAGGCTACAAGCATTCCTATGTAATAGCGCAGCCAGTGCATCCTCCGCTGGATTGGACTGCAATATATGCAAGAAGCATGTATGCGACAGCACAGATAGGCTAGAAAAAGATGTATAGCACATATAGGCTAGAAGCAGATGTATATGTATGCGATAGCCCAGGCAGTGTATCCTAAACTGGATGGTATTGCAATACAGCCAAGAAGCATGTATGTAATAGCACAGATAGACTAAAAGCATGCGAATGTAACAGCACAGCTAGTACATCTTGCACCAGGGGGACTGCAAAGATAGGCAAGAAGCATGTATGTCCCATCATACACAGATAAGCCACAGCATGTACATGTATTAGCACAGTTAGTATACCCCGCACTAGAACTGCAATATAGGCAAGAAACATGTACATAAAAGCACAGCAAGTCTATCATGCATAGCACTAAATAGTAAATGCCCTCTTTTAAAAGAATTAGGCTATTTGTCTCAATTCGGCATTTAGCCCCTCTCGCCATCCTGAAGTCCTTAAATTGTTTACAACTTTAACATTAAAAAAGGCCTCTTACGAATGTAAATTAATCTCATGTCATCCCTGATTCCCTGACTCTCAACCCTCTTCCACAAGGAGGGCCGACCCTATTCCTATTCTGCCATTCAAACCTGAGGAGCGCCCACTGTCCGGCATCGATCAAGAACGCGATGCAATCAAAGAGTACAACGCATAACACTCCCAGCACCAATCAAGAGCAAAATGCAATGAAGAGTACAACGCACACCACTTCCCACAGCACCACAATGCATAGCACCACACTTACTTTTCTGACTAGCATCGGGCAAACCCAGTTAACTGGCAGAAAGAAGAGCACGACCTTCCAGTGCTTATTATTATCATCGCGGTCCGCCAAAATTTTGATCCAAGCTCAGACTTGCAGCCCTGGTCTGGTCTTATCCTTTTCTTAAGCCACCACTCTACCCTACGCCGAAAAATGGCATTCCAGCGAGTTCGGAGTGGGTCTTTAGGGGTGAGTTCAGAGCGGGTCTTTAGGGGGGCACCGACCGGCGGGCACAGGCGGGTCCAGCCCTGCAATTTTCACGCACCAACTTTGGCAATTTTTCACGCTCAGAAAAATCGAAAAAAAAAAATCTGAAAATTTGAGAGCCTGTAGATTAGGTCGTGATCTTTCCAGTGAAACGGTATTCACCTGCTAGCAGTAGCGAATGCAGATCCCAGGGCTCGATCCCTAGACTTTACCTTACCTGTGAACATTACCTGCGTCGACCCCGAGAGTTCAACCCGTGACCTGTGTATTCGTAACAGTCGGTAGGCTGTCATAGGGTCTGTAGGTTGTAGGGGTTCGATCTGTAGACCTGTCAGATAGAGGCCTTAGGGAGTTCTAGAAGTCGTAGCTGTAGGACTTCTGAAAGGTCAAGGTCGTAGCTGCTACAGTCCTGAAAGGTCAAGGTCGTAACTGCTACAGTCCTGAAAGGTCAAGGTCGTAGCTGCTACAGTATTCGAAAGGCCAGGACTACAGACTTCATGCCCGAAGACGAAGTGGGCAAGAAGGAGAGTTTAGCCATAGCGGTAGAGGTAGTTGTGGCCATAGCCGCCATAGCTGGAAGAAGGGTGTGGTGTATGTGTGCATGTGTGTACAGTATGTCGTGTGTGGGACATCCACGGTGATCCTAAGTTGAGTTTGTGTGAACAGCAGAGTAGGCCGCAGTGACGAATAGGGAGTTGTGCAGGCGCTGATGCTCCATAGCCATCTGAAGCGAGCTTGTATCTGAACTGTGTTCTGGGTTACCATATCTCTGAGCTTTGAGTGGGCGCTTGTCGCCGGTTTGCAGTGCTACCTGTTTACATGCATGTGAAGTGTGAAAGAAAGCGAGTCTGGTTGCATTGGTACCAGAGCTGGTACCCGCTATCCCATGCACCATCGCCGTTGTCGCAGGGAGGAGACATGCGCCAGGTAGGGCGCTATAGCTGAAGTGCGCCGTCGTTGAAGACGAAGACATAGCTGAACTGCGGAGGAGGTCGTCGCCGTCTGTACCTGCAAGAAGACAACGAGGAGAGAGAGAGAGAGAGAGAGAGAGAGAGAGAGAGAGAGAGAGAGAGAGAGAGAGAGAGA